ATTCCACAATATATTCGAAACAGAAAGCGTAGGAAAGATATTGGAGTGACTTTGATCACTGGGGCTGAAAAAGACGGCTGTCCTTGCTAACAATATAAGCAACGCACACATAATAAATAGTCCCCGAAATCGCGTTTGTCATCAATATAATATAGTGAATCTTGGGCATGTAACTGATCCAATCATGTCGAGTTAATTAGGAATAGGGACGCGCATCTCGTATTACAAATTGTATATGTAGACTAGCCGCTAAAGACAGACAGAGAGGCCTATTTCGGGCTTTGCAGCATGCGTCCCCGTTAGCATCGATCGTGGCCGCGATCGCCATCGTATTATTCCGCTAAGATCATGCATCACCTGCCCAGGTCATCGATGGGGAATATTCTCCACCTGAACATCGGTCATATCCGATCGCTAACCTCCATGAGTTACTGGACAAAGTAGACTCTGAATGGCACAATAGATACGGAATGAGCCTGTCGCATAAGCTGTAATGTCTCCAGAAGAAGCTCGGGCAGGGTGTGTCGGTAAGTAGGTAACCATTGTGAGACCGGTAGGGTAAGGCTGAGCTAGCACTGCAATATCCCTACTCATGCTACCCTTACCGATCGCTGATGCAGGTGACGCTTGTGGCGATTCGTCAGGGGCTGCTGTGTAACATGAAAACAAAGCAACCCAATTTAATTACTGTAAGCCACTACATATTACCTGGAGGCGTACCTGGGTTAGATAAACTGTTTAACCCCTCCGATGCGATCTTACTATGTCTTTGTTTCTCATTAAAGATGGCCCTTATTCACGATGCTAAATTATTTCAAGATAGCCGCGAACATTCTGTTCCGGTTCCTCAAAGCAGTCTACGATCTTATTTCATTCGGTGTCTACATTGTCCAACTCTCCATTCGTGACTTGATATCGACTGTGCGTTATAAATGGCCACCCTCATTACCAGAAGATTTGAACTTATTTGCAGTTAAATAGGTCACGAATCCCTTCCTTCCCAATCGTCCAGTCGGGGATGTTATACCCCGTGGGTACCCAGGCCATGGAGGGGTTTGGCCAGAGTACACGGCCCCTAAGCGAGGAGAAGATTCCCGCTCGCCTTGTCCAGGGTAATCATCAATCCCCATATCTTTCACATACTAGCTGACCCTAATCTTTGCATAGACTTAACGCTTTAGCTAATCATGGTATGTCAGCCTTCTTTGCTGATTTAACCAGTCTTTACTGAGTAATGGCGGCAAGGGATCCTGCCAAATAATGGAAAACGTATTACCTACGCACAATTATCGCATGCAATCCAACATGCATACAACCTTGCACCAACTCTAGCAAGTCAGCTTACCTCTGCAGCTAAGCAGCTGGACCAAGGTCGAGGCTGGATTGATCTCCACGATCTCAACGCCTTGAACGTACGTATACATGAGAATATCGCCTTGCATGCCTTGTTATTCTCACTGCCAATATATTTTCGACGGGCTTCTTCTAACGCAGGTACTAATATATTGGAATTCAGGTTGTCCAACATGATGCCTCATTTACCCGTCCCGATATCGCATTCTGCCCGGACCAAAGCATCCCGCACACCGACCTGATTAATAGATTACTCGACCACGCATCGGATGAGAAGCATCTCTCACTGACCGACTTTTCCTACTACTCTGGTCTTCGCCGTGCGGAGTGCAAACGGAGTAATGGCCAGTACACACTATCGGGGAGTTTCATCCACAAGATGATCGGTACTAGCGCCGCTTTCCATGGTACATACGGCTATGCTAATTGAACCTTGCAGGATCCGGAACCAGCGCCCTCATGTATTCAATCTTCGGTGGGGATATCGAAGCGCTGCGGGCGTGGCTTGTGGACGAGCGTTTCCCAGATGGCTGGGAGCCGAAGAATAGGGAGGCTCTTGGCCATACAATTGCCGTAGGTTCAATCTTGCTTGACATTTTTTTTTCGCCCGGTAATTCTGACATGGCTTATAGCAAGCATTGACTACCTCTCTTGCCGTTGAGTTTAGTATTGATGAGAAGCAAGCCTTGCGGGAAGGAGATGTCTTTTACCACGAGTGAAACAGGTGTACAGCTGGCTAACAGATTACTCTCCCCTTATCTCCTTATTCATTTCTCTTTTGCGTTCCTGAGTATCGATCAGGGAAGATTGTATAACCATCTGCAAATGAGCGAGTTCTCAAAATATCAAACTACACACTCAAAGGAATGTGTTATTGTATATCACTCAGAAGAGGACTAGTATGGCGTCCACCATACAGGGTGGTAGACATGGACAAGTTCACCTCCCGCGCAACTGCCAGTATATCCTTTAGATAAACAGCACCATGCACTGATGTGCACACTACAAACGAAATTAAAGTCCTGGACTATGCCCTACATGGACAATGTTCGTCACGACAGCTTCGCACTACGCCCGACCTTACCGTGACGAGCATTCACCGGCTTCAAAACTTTATACCAGTTATCCTCAACCACCAGATGACTCTTCCCCTTCTGTGCCTCCTCCCACTCCCGCTCTACGCGACGGAATCGCTCCATTTCCTCGCGCAACCAAGCCGCACACGGTTCCACTACGGCCTTGACCTCCTGAAACGGCATCAGATGGCCCAAGCCAGGTAATGTAACCTCCTTGACTCTCCCCTCAGGCAAACCCCCACTCCCACCAACCCCAGTTCCACACCGCTTGATCGCAAGGCGCATCTCATCGAGATTCAAATAGGTCGATCCGCCCACGACCCAGAGGCAGGAGGGGCGGAGAGTGGGTAGGCGGAAGAAGGTACTGCGAGGTTCGGGACGGTAGAGGGGGATGAAGGCAGCCACGGGATCCAAATCGGCATGGGAGTCGCGGGGGATCTCAATCACCCCAGTGGTCGGGTTGCGGGCGCTGAAATTCTGTCGAATTTGGCCAAGGAGGTCATGATGCTTGGTGGTGGTTAGAGTGACAGGAGTAGTGTTGTTGTTGTCGGTGGTGGATGTGCCAAACTTCGCCTTCACCGCCTCCACGTCCGGGTACAGCCGCGTCGGTAAATCCCGGAAGCCGTGCTCCGCCATCCGTTCTACACATCGAGGATCCCATCCGTGCATAAACTTGCGGTTGGATTGCACGGCTGCCTCGCGGCTGGGCCATACATCCGAGCGGCGGAGAGTGTAGTTCGCTGCCCCCGGAGGGTCGGTGCCGAACCCCATAGCTGGTGGGCTCAGCTGAATGACAGGGTCCACGAGGAGGATGGTTGTGAATAAGCGCGGGTGGAGAAAGGCCAGGTTCGTGCTGAAAGGGATGGTCAGTGCTCGCTGCTACTGGTATATCTGGGGTCCGTAAAGTCTATGCTGGCACGCACATGATGTTGCCGCCCATGCTGTGGCCAATTCCTACGAGTGGACGGGGCATCTGCTCGCGGAAGTGGTTGATCATCAGGAACAAGTCCCGCGCATGATCCATCCAGGAGCCTGCGTGTGGAAAAGAGATGATTGGTCTTAGAATTGGCATCATCTGGAAGACAAGATGGCTGCTTGGGGGGTGTTACATACAGTCCATGCTGAGTTTATCCTCATTCAAGACCCCACTGGTGTTCATACTGGCGCAGTCGGCCACCCAGATGCTGCGAATATGGAAACCGGTGGCTTGGTTTAGCAGCTCATCCCAGAGTGGCTCATATAATTCCTACATTTCCCAATTGGTATAATTAGACATGTGTGCCCCTGACAAATAGGAGCCAGTAAGACCGTGTTACCTTGGGAAGTGCAGCGCCGTGAGCAGCGATGATAGTGATGGCATCGGCGGGAACGGGTTCGGCCTGGTTCTTGGGAGTATACTGCTTGACATGGAGTTTCAGTATGTCTTCCTGGTGAACAGTACTCCCGGGATATTCTCGGATATGGCAGCCGGGAACGGCATGCTCCGTGACGTTGAACTTTTCGCTCGACATCATTAGGCGTGGCTTGTGGGGAAGGGGAGAAAAGGAGTTTGCTGGGTTTGAGCGCAGTAAACTACATGCGACTGTCCTATATACCCTATCAGGAACAAACGACCAGCTGTCAGCACTTGTCCTGAAAGGGCAATCCCCGTGGGGCTGAATGCAGGCATCCCTCAGTTAGCGTATGAGCTAACTGGATAGATTATACACTACTTTTGTCGGGTATAATGATCTGGACACGGGTAAGCCTGCCAACTACTGCCTTCGTCCTGGGACCCAGGCTCAGTGCTTGGAGACAGACCGATGCATCATGCCCTTCGCTGAATTGTACACCCACAACTTGTGCCCGACTGGATATCCAGCTGAACCTGGAATGGTTGATGCAGCTGGTCTAAGTCGTGCATATACGCGATGTGGATGGTAAGACTCGATGAAAGGAGCTATCAATGGTAAAACGGTTGCGTTGGCTCTGACTTGATAACTTCGTTGCAGTGCTTGAGACAAAGACAAGGCATTAATTACTGGAGAAGTAGGTACCATACGATCTAAGAACCGGGGGTATTACATGTGCAGCGATTTACGATACGAAAATTGTGCGAATAAGACATTCTTGTTCAATATTTTGAAAGGTTACATACTAAACCACCATTGAATGTAGCGATGAAGTTCCCTTCCGAGTGTCAAGCTACCCAACCCGCCTTATAAGGCCCGCCCCCTCCCGGAACTGCTAATGCTAGTCCATGAGCTCAAAATTCTGACCTGGCATTCTGGTAAAGCAATGCGCCACAATGAAGACAACGCTTAGAAGTAAATTAGCTGGAAATAACCGAAGGAAATACTGAAGACCTCGTGATGAATGTTGACAGTTTCAACTCCAAGGCGCGAATCAAGAGCTGTTGGAGTCATCTTCACATCCTGCCTCCCTTAAGTAAACAAGTGAGATAACATTAAAACGGGGGTGAAAAAATAAAGATAAAAAAATAAGAAAAATAAAAAAAAAATAAAAAGACTCAACAGACCACTGCCACAGGACTGGTTTAGAAAGCAGCATGTCCCAGTGGCTGAGCAAACGCTAATCTACATCCTCAACATAGACAACCGCTTTATGAAGGATACCCTTATAAAAGGGACCTTTGTGATCTCCACAACGATACATGGCGGGAAATTCTAAGAAGAGAATTTGGCGGCCATCAAAACAATGTTCCTTCTCAGCCCCTCCATAATCCTCGGCCAATTCTATCTCCACCGAAGGGTGATGAAAGGCATGGCCCAAAGTATCGAGAGTCTTGAACTCCAGACGCTCAAGGTTGCATGAAATTTTCACCGAAAGTTCAGCGGCTGACCTGAAGACCTTCTGCATGTCAAGGAAGGCTCTATCCAGATCACATTTTTCCGTACTTCTGAGGAGCGATTTCACTAGCTCTTGGCCCAAGATTTCCTCGCATATTTTGTCAGCCACGGAGTCTCGATGAGCAATCATGTCATATCCGAGCTTATGATCTGGGTGGGAGAAACGAGTAGTCCATAAGCGCCAAAGCTGGGCAGCCGCTGGGTCAGCTACCGGGAAGGTCAGCTATCAGTGGCAGAGCACAAGATGTCAAATGGGGAAACTGATTTCTTACAAAGAGGCACCCCACTCTTGGTTTTCATGTGGGACGCTCCTCTGAGGTTATGCTTCCAACTCCGAATCTCTTACCCTACGGCATCTGTGTCCCCAAGCTTAAGGCGTACTTCACAGTTTGCTCTTGAGGCAGCATTCAAGTTTTGTTGGTGAGGTATAGTGACAATGCGCGCAGCAGTTAGATTTGCCATACTCCCCCCCCCCTAATCGCCAGAAAGACCCGTCGAATCATAGCATCGAAGCCATTGAGTCATACCAGCTATATCCTACCGTAGTATCATAATTTTTGGGTGGACACTGAAACGTGAATCTATACAGCATACCATCGAGAACACTAAGGCATGTACTCCCGTAGCTTCCCGGTCGGAAATACTGCGTAGCTTGACCACAGTGTGGCACTACTATTCCTCCCATTTCCAAGCACCGCGAGCCATTAATTGTGCCATGTTCAGCACAGTATCTCCTATACACAAATGTCAAGATGTCTCGACTGACTCTTCCAAAAAGCCTCCAATCTGTACCTCATGAGATGCCAAACCCCCACCTATCAAAGTGGGGGTATCCATTTCTGGACAGAAAGGCCACATATAAGGCCAAATACTCGGTCAGTAAAGCTAGCTAGATATCAGTAGGTGGACTAGCTAGTGTCAGCAGACACATTTTTGAAGTCGCTCAGCTCTCAGTCCCTTCTTCTACACTCCAGGAATAAGCAAGCCATCAGTAGGTGTACCCACGATGGATACGGCTCCTTTCTATGGCAAGGTCTAACACGATTGCAGTGTCTCCCACCCACGCCGACGAGATTTCAGCTCTCCTCCATGCTTACGGCAAAGCTCTGAAAAGCCGAAATGTGGACGAAGCAGTCGCTCTTTACACGGAAGACGGGGTCATCATGCCGCCGCACTTCTCGGCCAGTACAGGCACTGAGGCTCTACGCGACTCATACACACGCATTTTTGCAACCATCCAGCTCGTTATCACCTTTCAGAATGAGGAGATCGTTGTTATGTCTCCGGAGTGGGCTTTTGCCAGGACGACGGCTGAGGGAACGAAAACGATACTTGCCACTCAGGAGTCTGAGCCACATGCGAATCAGGAATTGTTCATCTTGAGGAGGGAGCATGGGAAGTGGTTGATTGCTAGATACGCTTTTTCTAGCATGAAGTCGTTGGTGCAGAATGGAATTCGACGGAGTTAGAATTTTGGGTTAGCTGTTGATGTGTCGGAAATGGATGGTGATACTTTTGATGGGTTTGTAAATTATCGGTTTGCAACAAAACAAAGAGGAAAGAAAGGAAACACCCGGTTACAAGAGAGAGCCGTTCCTTATGATTGTCAGTCAGTACTTCTATGTCACTTTAGGACAGGCATAGAAGAAAGACGCTGCGGGGGATATCCAATCCTCTGTATAAATCATATCACCTGCTCTTTCCTTTCTAATAATCCAGACATATTGCTTGGGGCAGCAATGATAGTCTGACCTTTTGATTTTTTAGCCGGTTTGGTGTCTTTCGAGTATGATCCATCTTCCCTTTACCTCCTTTCTGAGTACAAGTAGAACAGTGTCTCTACCTGGCTCGTGTCTCTACCTGGCTCGCTTGTGTCTAATTTAAGGCTTCGTACGTAGTTGTTTGGTTTTAAAACTACTACTACCATCTGATACATTTCATAGCACAGTCAGTCACATCATAGTGCTGCTTTAGTAACATCGCCACTATGATCCGACCGCGATCGAATATATCACATAGCAGTAGCTAAGGAAGGGTCAGCAGGACCTCAACGCGACAACCTATATTGCATTACCTACTTGGAAACCGACAGCAGTAATTGAGAATATTGAACCTGTATCTTGAATGTCTCACGGATATTCAGCTTTGTAGTTATAACTAGTGAGGTAGGTGAACAACATGACTAGATACTGCCAATATGCTTTAGGTTGAGCAGCTGGAATATAATATCAAAACAGGGAGGTTCTTTCATAGCAACCCCCGATGGTCTAGTTGGTTATGGCGTTCGGCTGTAATGGGTATTATTGTAACCGAAAAATCACCAGTTCGATTCTGGTTCGGGGGATTCTATTTTTTACTTTCAATTTTTTCTTTCTCGCTCAACTGTCCCCAAAGAAGCTATTTTACCCGCATCTGCCCTCAAAACTAATAACTACTTCGAAAATGACAACGACTCCAAGCATTGCCTGACCACCACGGGTATCTCCCAGATCAGACTTTGCCATGCTTGTCTCTTCTTCAACCCCAACATAATAGCAGTCACCAACACTCCCACTGAAGTGACACAGCCTGCAAAGTTAAACAGTCCCCGTTTAACTCTCGGCTGCACTATACTTTGGATGTGCTTCCGAAAAGCTGCTGGGTTATTGGTGTTCGGGAAGGGCTCATCGGGGGTATCTTTACCCAGAAACTGTAGCCCACAATGTTAATTGACACACTCTACCAAATCATTGACTTATCACTCAAGGCTGGCCTTACCTCACACAAAGGACCCCATCCATCTTCCACATCCCACTCCAAGAGCCTCTCCTTCGGCACAAGCCCTCGAATCATCAACCCATGTTCCTGATACACCCTTTTCCCATGTTTCATCAGCCCCTCCTTGGTTGTCCGCCCACGAAACATGGCAGGATATCCGATCGTGAAGTACAACCTCCAAAGCCAGTACGCATCCGCCGTAAAAATGCGCAGAAACCAGGCCATCCACTGGTTTTCACCCTCTGCGACCAAGGTGTTCATAGCACTGCGATGCCAGGCATCCACATCCCGCCGCGTATTCAAAATCACTTTAGCCTCTGGATACGCCTGGATCATCTCCACGCTGAACATGGCGGCTGCTGTGTCCACCACTGCATCGCAATGCCCCAGCAGGCAATCGAACTCGTCGCGAGTGATTGGGGCGTCGCCTGGCCCTTGCACGCCCGAATACTTCCGCTCTGCTAGCTGCGCCCAGCCCTGGGCATATGGCGGGTCGTCGAAGACAATGTCCCAGCCGTGGTAGGTTTTGAAGCCCAGTTGAGTGAGCGCCCGGCTGAGACTCTCTGTTCCGGATCGTGGTAGGCCTACGCAGATTACTTGCAGTGGTTTGGTGCGGATGCGTGGTTGGGGCTGGGGGAAGCCATAAACAGCGCCGCGCAAGGTTTCCATGGTCGGTAAGTTTTGGGATTAGTAACAAGATATGACTGACACCAAGAAGATGGAGTGTAAGGCTCTATGGGGGGGTGGGAACCGAGTTTCTTTATACTTGTCTCTGCTACCATCCCCCTAGAGTATCTCGCTCTGTGGGGAATACCAGACCACCAATTGGCCACTTATCCATGTTCTGGCTGCCTAAAGATTATGAGGGCTTACGACACAGTGTGTATTTGGTTGGTGAGTATTCACAGCCCGAGGGAATAAAGGGGCGCAGGGGCCTTCTTTGTCGGGTTGGGCAAATGAAGCTTGAAATGCGGCTGAACGAAAGGCTAGACGGATCAACCAATGATCTTTTGGCGTGTTACAAAGTGCCCACTTGTAGTCCCCACGGACTCATGATTCCTTTGTCCGTATTGCAGCCCCTAAGCATAACGCATTGATTGGGATCTCCGTGCTGCCGTCTCATTTTCAGCTACCAATCTCACCACTAGGCACCAAATTTATTACAGAGCCGTAATTCACGCGACTGGATATCGAAGTGAGAATAGCCTGATGATGATGGGGGTGAGGCTAGGACTTCCAGACTTACTCAGACTTACTCGGATCATGGAAGGATTTTAGTACTCTCTCTCTGTCTCCGTAGAGTTGCCTGTCATAGGAAGACAACCAACTAAATGGGGCTAGCGTATGTACACATCACTGGGCTTGTAATTAACTGTATTGAGTTGTATCTAATCAAAGACAATAGCAGCCTTGACAACTGACTTTCGCCTCATCGCATCAAGGCACATCTCCCACTCATCCAGTTTAAATGTCTTGTTGACAATTCCAGACACATTAATTCTTCCACGATCTGTATATGCGGATATTCATTAGCTACTGATTCCCTGTACCCCGCACTTCACAAAACTCACCAAGATAATCGATGGCAGCTGGAAATTTGTACGTCTGACTGAAAGAACCCAGGACATGGATCTCCTCCTTGAAGATCTTATTCGGTGACAGCGAGATGCGGCTCTCATCATTGTAAACCCCATACACTACCAACTTTCCACCTTTGGTGACAAAGTGTATCGCGTTCTCCAGAACCCTTTCACTACCCGTCGCCTCCACAACGATATCAAAGCCGTACGGATATTCCCTTCGTAGCTGCTCCAACCTAGCAGCCGCGGCGTCTTCTTCCCTTGGCAGATCGACAAATTCATCCGCAGCATCAAGCGACTTGGCTAGCTCCATCTTCAACCCGCCCGGTGCAGCAATAACAGTTCGACAGCCACCATTTTGGCGAAGCAGCTGAGCTAGCATTAATCCTGTCGGACCGGCGCCAAACAGAAGAACACTGGACCCCATTTGTGGGGATATCTTATCCAGCCCGTGTGCCGCACAGGCTGCAGGCTCCAATAAGGTGGCATCGGCGTCTGACAGGTTCTGGATCTTGAATACGCGATGCGCAGGGTAGGCGGCGTATTCGGCAAATCCGCCATCGACCATCACGCCGTGGGCGATAAAGTTCTCACAGAAGAGCTCTTTGCCCCGGCGGCAATAGTGACAGTGTCCGCATAGTTCCGAGTTGTCGGCTACCACGCGATCCCCTACTGTAAAGTCGACGACTTCGCTGCCGAATGCTGCGACGATGCCGACGGTTTCATGACCGGGTACTAGGGGGAACTTTGCTGATCAGTCCAGTATATTGGTTAGTGGTAGGAGTGTCCTTACCTGGGCTCCAAATTCACCCTCGTGGATGTGCAGGTCGGTACCGCATACACCGCAGGCCTTGACTTTGATCTGGAATAATATCAAACATTGTGTTCAGTTTGCGCAGGTTCACAAACATACGAGGATATCGTGAGCACGTATGCTAGGAAGCTTCTTTTCAACAATGCTAA